GGTGAGGCGGTGGCTGTACTGAACCGGTGCCTGGCTGAGGTAATAGGCTGGATGAGGGCCAATAAACTGAGCCTCAATCCAGATAAGACGGAAGTCCTGTTGGTGGGTGGTGATTTTGACCCAGTTATGGACAGGGTAGCACTCCCTCTAAAGGACAGGGTCCACAGCTTGGGAGTACTCCTTGACCCAGAGCTGTCACTGGAGTTCCAGGTGGTGGCAGTGGCAAGGAGTGCTTTCCTACAGCTTCGACTGATCCATCAGCTATGTCCTTACCTGAATAAGCACTCCCTAGCAACAGTGATACATGCTCTGGTAACTTCCCACTTGGATTACTGCAACCCACTCTACGTGGGGCTGCCCTTGAAAACGGTCCGGATACTGCAACTGGTACAGAATATTGCTGCCAGGCTGCTGACAGGGACCGGCCGTTACTCTCACATAACGCCAATCCTCTACCAGCTCCACCGGCTTCCAGTTGAAGTCCAGGCCCAATTCAGGGTGCTGGTTTTGACCTATAAAGCCCTAAACAGCTTGGGACCAGGATACTTAAAGGAACGTCTCCTTCCTTATATGCCCTCACACCCCTTAAGATCTATGGGAGAAGCCCTACTCCGGGAACCCTCTCTAAGAGATGTAAAAAGGTCATCAACTCGGAGTAGGGCCTTCTCTACTGTGGCGCCCAGACTCTGGAATGTACTCCCCAGAGAGGTACACCTGGCACCAAGTTTATACTCTTTTCGGTGCCAGGCTAAAACCTTTTTATTTAAACAGTATTTTAAACTTTAATAGTTTTAAGTTTAGTTGCTCTGTTTGTTTTGTGATTTACTGTTTTGTTCTGTTTTATTATTTATTGCAATTGTTGTTTTAATTGTCTTTTTAAATATGGTAAGCCATCCTGAGATCTTGTATAATAGGATGGCATGCAAAAGCTTTTAATAAATAAATAAATAAATAAATATTTCACTGGTGCTTTACAAGTCCCTTCTTGGTACTGCTTTACCAAAACTGGTCCTCCACCTTCCATGTTGTCTTTGACTTCTTGTCCAGGGAGTTTACAACTTGACTATCTCAGAGTCTGGATAACAGTTTAGAGCAGTGGAGCAAAATCATGGAGAAGTAGATAATAGCAGTTAGAATAGATCTGTGGTATAAACTTGTATTTGTTCAATACAAGTTTAATTACCACTTTAATGGTCATACATTTTGTTATTTTTGCTTTGTAATCTGAGCTGTTAATTTATTTTTCCACTTCTGAAGTAGAAAGGGGTTTTTTGCTGCTTTTTATGCAAAAAAAATGTTAAATTAAAATTATATTTTAATTTTTTAATTTTGCATTTTATTATATTTCATTCTCTTTTTCTGTGTCATGCTGACCAACAGCTTATACAAATACAGTATAAATATTCATGCATGAATTTCCCTGGCTTGCATGACAGTTCCCAGGGATTCCTGAAGAGAATCAATGGCTGTTGAATCACTTTGTCTGCAATCTAGATTTGCCCTCAGCTAAGAGCTAATTGTTACTTTGAAACTCCAGGGTGATCAGTTTTGATCTCACAGCAGCTGGGAGAAAAAGTGCAAAGCAAGATGGCCACAGCAATTATAGATAGCTTTAGGTTTGACTCTTCTGCTACTATCCTTGTAATTCAATTTAAAGCATTCCATTAGCCTTTGTGGCAGTAATACGCTTTGTCTGCAGGAGCTCAAGCAGACAATATGCTTTTCTTTTGAAATTAATGCATTCACTCTCAGAACTATAGGGCGTCTCCAGAGTAATAGTCTGGTGTGAGGAGGAAACATTTAGAAGCAGAAGGGTGGGAGATGAGTATCAGATGTGATTCTAGAATGGCATATGCAGTAAATATTTTTACATGCGTTTATTTCCATAATACATTCTATGCTTTTTAAGGACTGAATATAAAAACTGGAATTATTTCCTGACCCAGAGTGTTATAACTGTATCTCTTCCACATGATGGATCTAAGATGGAATTTTTCAGAAGACAGGGAATCAGGGAAGTTTTCCTGGAACTAACTTCCCCTAAGGGCTTAGCCATATAGTTGGAAGTATTTTCTCTCTTGCTGGGTAATTCAGCAGAATAGAGAGAGCAGAACCAGCCAGAAAATTGTACCCTTGGAATCTGTAATCCAGTGATTTAGGGAGCTAGTAGAGGTTTTGGAATAGACAGCAAGATAATTAGCTACTCACATGAAAAGAAAATAGGAAATCATGAATACTGGATGGATTCTTTACAACCTGTTATTTCTCTATGTATGGCTGGTGATATTTAGATTTCCTTCCAGTCACAAGGGAGCCACTTATTTGTTGCTGCTGTGCACCTGGAAGGACAATTAAATGGCCCAACCACATTACAGGGGTCTTCCCTATGAGACTGGCACTTAAATAACATTCTTCAAGCCACATCAAATTCACCCATGAATGAGCAACTCCTGCAGATCTTGATGAAAACTGTTATAGCATGTCATTATTGTTGCTCATCTTGGTTGGTTTTAATGATTTTAATGTTTTTGATTTTAATATTGGTTTAAATGTTTTTATTTGTAATTGTTGGTTTACCTTGCATTTTAACCTCTGTTTTATTCTATTTTGTATTCTATTGTTGTTACCCACCCAGGGAACCATATGGCTAATGGGAGCAGTTAGAAATTTTAATAATAACAATAGCAGCAGCAGCATGTCTACTTCCCCAACATTGAATGATCAAAGTCCAGCTTCCAAAGCTTCTAGTGTTGCTAGGTGCTATTTCAATTGAGGCATCTATAAATGGAGAACTTCCCAGAACTTTCAGAAATACCTCATACTCTCACTTTCTCCCCAGCTTGCTCCAAGTAGGTTGCTGAGAGCACACTCAGTGATTGCACTCTGTCCAGTCAACATTGCACATGCCAAAGCATAGCCTCAGATTGAGCAGAAAAGTCAGAAGGGCTGGAAGTCCTGCTGTCCTTGGTCCAAGCCTTATTATCACCATGCCCTCTCCAGAAAGGGGCTATAGCTATCCTGCTGTGCAGAAGGAAGGTGGAGGCAAGCAGCAGAAATGGAGACAAGCTCCTTGCTGCAGTCTCATCAGATCACATGGTTCCAGGGGAGGGACGGGGCTCATAAGGAGGAGCTGGAACTCCTATTCTTATTTGTCACTGGCTCTTCTGTTACCAGGTCGACCAAAGGACATTTAGAATAGAAAGAAGTCCAGAATTAAAGTTTCTATATAATTAAAAGAAACTAGAGAAATGTCAGTTCTGAATTTTAAGCTATATTGTGTTCCAAGTTGTGTTCATCAGATAGCAGATTGGCTGTTAGCACCCAATTCTTCTCTGTTTCAGTACTTGAAAACGCGGTAATCAAAACACTATTGCTTACTGCCTTATGAGGAAATAGTAGTTCTAGAATAAATGAAGCATAAAGGAATGATCTACTTCCATTCTTGCTGAAACACTATACAGTCCCTATAATGGGGTGTTAAGTCCACCTTAATTCAGTAATAGAGCAACTGGATTCAGGTACATATACAAAATTTAAAATATGAAAATATAAATGTTTGTTTTGATATAAATATTGTGTCAGTCATAATATAAAGTATGACTCAGAATTGAATGAGCATTTAACAGGCATAACTTCTCCATGATTTCAACATGGCCAAATGTTTTCAAATCACTCTTAACAACATACTTTAAAATAAACCATCAATTAAATAGTTTTATTTATTTATTTAAAGCTTTTATATCCTGCCTTTCACTATGTCTCAGGGTGGTAGTACAATAAAATAAAATAAAATAAGGTACAGCATCTTAAAACAATATTAGCATTTAAAATAATGGGAAAGTAAAGAGAGTTAACCATCTTGGGGAAAAACATGAATGAGGCATATTTATATAAATCCTCTCACACGTTATTAAAATATGCCACAGAACTAGAACAAGTCAAAGATTATGTGGTGAAATGGGCACAAAACACAGGTGGAAATGTTTTAATGGAGATACAGAAGTGCTTGTGACACAAAGAATAAAATTTTTAATTAAATATATACCTAGGTATAATACTCCCTATAAACTAAATAGACAGAAATTCCAGAAACAACAAGGTGATTTTTACCATATTTGGTGGAATGTCCTATGATAAAAATTGGAAAGAAATTAACAAGTTAATGTCAACAATATTAGGTGATGAAATGCTGTTAGCTCAAAAGATTAGCAGTCTGCTGTGCCGCATTTTATTGCTGTTTTTAGGTATGATATTTTGTGCATATTTAAAGAATTATTTTATTTGTCTTAATCTGTAAGCTGCCAAGAAGATACTTGTCAGTGAGTGGCCATATAAATTTAGTGATTCCAGTCAATCAAAAAGAGGCACACAAGTGAGCACTACAAAACCTCTTGGCTTGCTTTCTTTGCTGAGCTGCAATAATGGGCATGGTCTTGACTGGGGGAAGAGGAACCACAGGGAGAGAAACAGCAGGCATAGGGTGGGCTTGGCCCTATCTATGTGCCACTTTTACAGCTTTATTAAAAGCTGATTAGGCTACTTCCTCTTTCTATGCGAGTGGAGCAATTCTTTACATGAGCACACAGAATCACCACTTTTGTATTTAGTTCTGCAGTCAAGTCTGAGAGTCCTGCCTGTTTTTGTTACAAACCACCTTTGTCAGTTCTGCAGCTTGCAGAGGTCAAGTCTGACATACTGCAGTGTACACAGGAGATGCGAGTTAGGCTGTAGAGATCCCACGGTACACAGTACATAGGGGCTAGGCATGAATAGTTTTTTGCTGAATGAACATTATGTAAAGTTACATATACATACATACATCCTGTAATATTCTGGGCAAGTTGGTAGTTGTTGCTCTCTTTGTAACCAAGAAACTGAATGCTGGTTGCTGCAATAATCCACAAAACTGCAAATGCTACCATTTCTAGATTGTTACTGTTCTAAAATGTATACAATCAAATGACTTACTTCCCTCTTTCTGTCCCTTTTATTTCTTCTAGACACATCTACATCTACTACTGGGACAAGTCATCTCACACGATGTGATGTAAATAAGAAAGGCTACTGTGTAAATGGAGGCGAGTGTTTCATGGTCAAAGATCTCCCAAATCCAAGATATTTATGCAAGTAAGGAAACCTTTTCATTTCTTCTACAGAGCTGCACCACTGTTTGTTATATCACCTAGTAAATTGTTCAGCATTAATAATTTATCCTACAGATCAATAGAGGACTGAATAAATGAATTTTTTAACCTTTAAAACATGCATAATAGTCTGGTCCTCCATATCCTCTTTTCAGTGTTTTAGTCATGTAAACTCTGAATCTGTCTGTACTTGATTACTCATCACAGGGTTGGTTTGAAAACAATTGTGTGTTATTAGGAAGGAAGCCTATAAAATAGTATCTAGCTGTTGCTCAAAGGCAGCAACTGATTTAATAATGCACAGAATGCAATATACAAAATCAACATTTTATTTGTTTGTTTGTTAGTTAGATTTATATCCCACTTTTTCCCAATGAAGCCAAAGTAGAATAATATTTTGACAGGAGACAACAATTGCTGTTTAACTCTGTAACGGAGTAATTTCATAGGAATAATATATGAAAGCTGATTCTCATGTAATTTTTTAGAGCCAAAATGCTACCCGTAAGTCACACCTGTATTTGAAAAGACATGCATATATTTGGTCTATATACAAAGGTTTGATGAGAATCACAATCCACATTAACTTACAACATTTACCAGAAATGGAAAAGCTTTCTGCATGTACACCCAGATTTAAAAAATGTAACTCCTGTTTAAAAGTACATTTAAACAAAGCTTGACATAGTGTTGATGCCCTGCTTTTATATTTTCCAGTGGCATGTGGCTGACTGGTGTCGAATGTGAACAGAGGCTAGGCATGAATAGGCTTTTGGCTTGACCCAGGAAGTCTCTTCTTATGCTTAACTAGCTTAAATGTTGATATTTATTTAAAATAATTTTATACTCTTAAAGGTTAAAAATGTCTTAAGGCAGTTTTAAAATATAAACAAAAATACATAAAATCTTTCTCAGACGTATGCATGTGAATTGAAACAATGGCATTAAAAGACCATTCTTGTACAACCACAAATTTAAAAATATCGGTGACTAATGAAGATTAAAAATTGTAAATAACTGCATGTAATAAATATGTCCATGTGCGACATGGGTTTTTTTGTGCACTGGAATGCTACACTATCCCAGAAGAGCCTCCCTCTCTCCCCTCCTTGACCCCTAGAATATCCCCCTAACACCAGCTCTAAGAAAGTTCTTATGACCTCAAAATCACAGCCAGTGGCTGCTCCAAGGGCAGAAAAGGCCACATCCATTGTGACTGCCCAAAACCCACACTGGGGTTAATGAAATTTGGAGAAATATGAGCATCCCACTGAAGATGGAAGAGCTTCTTCTGCCATGCAAAAGACTTAGATTTTGTCCATCTAAATTTATTACTTGGAAGGAAAAAATGCTAAGTATCCCCTGAGATAGATCATATTCTGATAGAGACTCACTTTTTCCCTTCCTGTCCCCTGGAATGCCTGCCCACTGCCTCCCATGCCAGCTTCCAGCCACAGCCAACAAATGTCTTTCTGTACCAATGGAAGAAGGGTGTTCCTAACTCAGCATCCCAGCTCCAAATTCCAAGGCGGCCACTGAGATTCCAGGTTTCCCTACAGCTACTCAGAAAGCATCTATTAGCATACAATTGTGTCTAAAATATATCAGTCAATTAAAAATGCTATCTGAAGTTGTTTTGGGATGTTATTCCGACAGAGCAATACCAAACCAGAAGCTAGTCTCTCAAACAGAAGATGCTGCTTATTGCCAGCCATAAATGCTAGCAGCATTGTTCCCGTACTTAGCCGCTTTTTTCTAATTTTTTTTGCTCAGCAATATTAACCTTTAGATTGTCACTAGAATAACTAGACAAAGATATTTGTGTGGCGCTTCCAGATTTGAACCCAGGTTGTTCAGAGAGCCTAGATGCATACGGCAAGCTCCTTTCTTCAGACCTCCTTTCTCTAATACATGGAAGATGGTAGGCCAAGAGAAAATGTTATAAAAGCCACGCAGGGTGAGCAAACATGGTCCTGCTCCCTCCCACCCCTCCACGCCCAGCATTCACCCGCAATACAGCTATATACTGAATAAAATTATATATAATTTTATGAGCATACTTCTTATCCACTATATAGGTTCTCAAAGAATGAACTAAATCAAGGGAATGCTAAAAAGCAACTGCACTTGATTACTAAGCAAATTGCAAGACTACTAGCTGATTATTCAATACTAGCTGAATATTTAGATTAAACCTGAACAAGTTCCAGATGAAGTATCAGTATAAAGGGTAGATGATGTAGATTTATCCAATAAGTATATTCTGTCTATAGATAACAATAGATAAATCCATTGTTTCTTTCTAAGCGCCTAAGTTATGGAATGCGCTCTCCAGAGAGGTCCGCCTGGCGCCGTCGTTATTTGCTTTTCGGCGCCAGGCGAAGACCTTTTTATTTAAATGGCATTTTAACTGTTAGTATTATTTGATCTTATCTGGCCAGGGCGGCTTATTTTATATTGTATTTTTTGGATTTTTAATGTTTATATTTATTGTAATTTATATTATAATTACTTTTATTTATTGTTGTAAGCTGCCCCGAGGCTTCGGCGAATGGGGCGGCATAAAAATGTTTTAATAAAATAAATAAAAATAATAAAATAATAAAAAATAAAACAGTGCAGATTTTATTTAGTGGATTTTTCAAAGGAGATAGTACGTACATTTTCAGTTTGAGAAAGTTTCCTGGATTTTTGTATTTCTTTGGCTCTTCTACCTAGCAAAAATTCAGACAACAGGAATAGTGCTTTTCTGGCTACTTAAAATTTAGATGCTTTAGCTAATGAGTTTATTATTAAGATTTCTAGATAAGCATTGTGCTTTTTTTACTTGATCCTATCTTTCCAATTTAATTTTGATTAGCTATGGTTAGAAGAGCCCTAGTTGTTTATCAAAACAATTGTGTTCAGATAAACAGCAAAATGATCATATAAATAAGATGGCACAGTTGGATAAATACTACAGAATTTCTTATGATCTTGTTAGGGTTCCTTTTGGGCACTTCAGCATACCCATGGATTCTCTTTTGATCCCATTTAAATTACTGTTCAGTACATTATTGTAGGGAAACTTTATACATATTATTGTCCATTTAATTATGGTCATATTAGCATTTAATAATGGAGTTGATGGATCATTATTTCTTATCCCCCAGTGTAATAAACATTGTTATTTGAAAATCAAAATGAGTAACATATTTAAAGAAAATTAACATGTATCTAATTATGTTCCTTGAAAGCTAACCTTAAAACTAGAAGCCTGTGCCCAAATAATTATGTAGTCAGCTCAGCTCAGTATATGAAGTTCAGATCCTTACTGATAGGCTTCTTTACCCCCTTAGTGTTGTAAAGTCACATTGTTGCAGTGACTCTAGAAGCCACAAGGGGCAGGTTTCACTACCAGATTGTACTTGTATTTCTATACTTAGTCACCACAAGTCCCCTTCTTGGCTCCTCCCACTGCCTACCATGTCCTTCCTGTCAGTGGTGTGCAACACTTCCTATGATTAGACCCTGTGTCTCCTACAGAAGCCTGTTGTCTATTCTGTCCCCTTCCTTCAGCCTTCCTTCCTAGCTTCTTGGTCTGCCACTCCTATTTCCCAGGATCTTTTCTCAGCCTTCAGCCATCTTCTTGGCAAACTGCCCTTCCTGCAGTCCAGCTCCTCAGACGTAATTGAACATTCTAAGCCAACACTTCCAATCAGCCAGTCAGGGCATCACTACCATAAGCGCAATGTGATAATAATAGCATGCAAACAATTTATTATCCATACTAAAGCAGCTAGAATGACAATTGTTAAATATCCAGCTGTATAACAAAAAATGCATGTATGTATGGATGCATGGCAAAATCTGAACAAATTATATATCCCCAAATATCGGGGGTCGGGGAGATGGGATGTCCCAATAAACCCTGTACTACTGCTCATAATAATCTAAGTTCAAAATAGTAGTAGTGGAAGGAGGAATTACATTCATAATATAATAAGTTAATATAAGTTGTGTTAATATCAGTTCATAATAATCATAATGAAAAGCAAGTCCCAAATCAGTGGAGAATTACTCTTGGTTTTAGCACGAAAGAAGCCATTGCCACTAAGTAAATGGTAGCCTTCTTCATATTCCCACCCAGCTAAGTATCCAAAGTTGTAGCAGCCGGCAATAGAAAAGTCAATATGGTCAAAGAGCAAACCAAACTCTAGTTGGAACTTGAAAGTTAACTTGAACAGGCAAATCTATGTGAAGGCCACCCTGAACATGAATTCGAGTTCCAGTGAACCATGTTTGCCATATTTTTCCTGGTTCTAACAAACAGTGCTATACAAACATCTATATATTACTTGTTACTTACCAGACACAGATTCCTGTCCATACAGAAATACAGTTGTCTTGATACAGTTCTGTCTTTCAAGCAAAAACACCCTGTAATGTGTATCTAGATAATTACATTATTGCTTTGGCACTAACTTCACATTTTTCCATGTGGTCCAACTGATGAAAGCCAAAGCAAGAGTTCTTGAAGCATGAACATAATACTATGTATTTCTCCATTATGGTTAGGGGTGCCAACTTGTGATTTTAACTGGTGGATGGCCCTGGTGAGTTTTTGTTGGGCTAGAAGCAGGCCTTGGCATGCATTAGGTGAAGTATCTGGACAAGATACTTGCAATATCTGTACAATACCTTACAATTTAAAATAATTACAGCTCACATGAAAAGTAACAATAAAATCATAATAGCAGTTTTCTTTATTTATGTCAAACTTTGTCATTATTTCCTCTAAGACAGAAAATAATTCCTTGGAATGTCTGGAGTTATAACTATAAACATGAAATTAGCGTATGGAGTAACTGTTTGCAAGAGGCATTCTTGTTTTGTAAGATTTCTTTTTATCCATGTCTATTGGCAAAACCACACTTTATCCCTTAAAGCTGTTAGTTAGGCCATTTAAGACATTTAAAAGCAGAGTGCTGATTAGCTAAGAAGCCATGTTGTTTATTTCATTCTTATTTTTAGGAAAATTAAGTCACTCCTGCCAACTCTCAGAGTGAGGGAATAGCAAGGCAATCTATGCATGTTTACTCTGATGTAAGTCCTATCATGTTCAGTGGGGCTTACTCCCAGGTATATCTGCCCAGAATTGCAGACTGTCATCTAATGTTTGCAAAATCAAACTGATCTGGTATACTCCAAATTGAATATATTATGTTTATCGCAGAGTAAACATAATACATCCAGCGCCTGTTAACTGGCAAACTTCATATTAATCCAAACAACAACAGATAAATTATGCATCTGCACTGCAGTTCATGGGATTCTTACACTTTTCCAGTTTGGCCATTTGTGTAAAAAAGAGTGATGTGATTACTTCCATAGAGAACTGTGATGGATGTTGCCAGAATTCAGATAGCAGCAAGAGTATAATTTGTATTCTGGTATAAGGATTTCATTCTTATAACCTGCACTGAAACCTTTTTACATGGAAGGCAAAGGTCCCCTTATGGGAGAAGGTAAATCTGTCATTATTTCAATTCAAAGCACATGTTCATCTTTTTCTTTGCTTCATTCAAACCATCAGGCCATTGCTTCTTTAAAAAAAAAGTATTCAAATTCACTGCTGCATATGTGAAGTTCCATCAGTATCTGCTTCTTCAAGGTACCCCAGCTACTTGGAAGCAGGAATTCCCAGGGGAACAATGCCATGTATCTCTTGTCTTCCCATCAGGAAAGATGAGGCGCTTCCACACATGACTGTGTGAGGCACCTGGATAAGTTTAAGAGGTTCTGCCCAAGGAAGCTGGCTGAACATGCATCTTGCACTTCCTAGCAAGGAGAGGTGAGAGGCATGTGGAGCTGCTCTGGGGAAGAACTTCAAGGCCCCCTCCACAGGCCAGGTGATGAAGGGGCCATCCAACTTAGGAGTTTCCCATCTCTAATTGACTCTCACTTGGATCAAGTTCCATCCCAGGTTTGAGAATTAATCCAGAAGACAAGAGTTCTGCTTAATCAGTAGAAAAATTGACCAAGAAGAATAAGTTTTTTCTCTCATACTGAATGGGCTGCACACCATCTGTATCTTTCCCCAGACCTGGTTTTATTCTTAGATACTCTGGTGACAGCTATGAGCAGCCACGTGGCAAAGAACTTGGTACAGGTTTGCATTGTGCAGGAATTGCACCATGTCCGAAGGGGCAGACCTGGCCGCTGTTACACATGCATTGCTCACATCTGGGGTAGACTACTGTGACACATTCTGCTGTTCAGCCTCTTTGTTTTTTCCACCCAGACAGATGGTAACGATAACGTTTTCCTTTGAAAGTTTTACAAAATATACCAAAAAAAGTCATTAATGTATGTCATTTTGTTTCAAAATAAATATTAACTAAATTGTTTAAGAAGGAAGAGATTAAATTGTTTTGGTTGACACTTGCAGTGTAAGTGACTGCTGAAATCAAGGTTATGAAATTGTTGTCACTCACGGCGAATGGAAATTGTGTCCAAAACTGTGTGTGTTTCATGATGTAGAATTCATATAATAACATTAATATTTAAACTTACAAAATTAGTGTATCTTGGCTTTGTCCATTTTCATTAATTTTTTCTCTCTCCAGAGATCTTTTAGAGGAGTTTCATGTTCCATAGGAAAGAGAATAGCATTCTCTGAGGTCACGGGTTCTGCAGTTTTTCAATTGCTGATCACATTTTTGCCCTTTAGGTGTCTACCTGGATTCTCTGGAGCAAGATGTGCTGAAGTTGTACCCATGAAAATGCAAAATCCAGAAAGTATGTTCTAAAATAATGTGAAATCTGCTTTCTCCCCCAGCTACAGCAATCAAAATCAGTCTCACTTGGTGTTTTCATCCATCAGTTTGAACTGGATTCTTTTCCTTCTGCCTTAGACTTCGTACTGTGCACTTTAATCTGTACAGTATAGCATCAATGTACTATTTACCCACATTGCTATTATTATTATTATTATTATTATTATTATTATTATTATTATTATTATTAGTAAGCCTTCTTATGTAGGTACTGTTTTTGGAAGCTTCATTGGCTGAAGTGAACGCTGTATTGATTCCTTTTTGCCACTGCCTCTGTCTGTCCACCTCAATTATGGCATTTGCAAATCAATCCTAAATTCTTCAGCCTTGATAGCACTGAGAAACAGATCTGGTTACTGAAGATGAATTCACCAAGTCCAGACCACTCGCACTAAAGCAGCCTCTTTCTTAGCGTGTATTTACCTCTTCTCTTTTTCTGTGTTTTCTCTACCTTTTTGTTTTTGTTTTTGCTCTCAGGTGCCCAAATGAGTTTACTGGTGATCGCTGTCAAAACTACGTAATGGCCAGCTTCTACAGTACGTCCACTTCCTTTCTGTCTCTGCCTGAATAGGAGCATGCTCAGTTGGTGCTGCTTTCTTGTTGCTTCATCTTTCCTCAGATTTATATACGTAACTGAGTGGATTACATGAAGCTTAATATAGATTGCCCTACCTGTTTGCATGGAAATAGTAGCACAAGCAGTTTCCAGAATTCAGCTAGATTGGCTGGCAGGAATAAGCAAACTCTAAATAACAGTTGATATTCCCTAGGTAATGTAGGAACACACACCTAGGTTAATTTATAATAGAATTACACAAATATAGAGCAAGTGGTAATTTTCCAAATGATAGTCACATGCAGCTTAGATTTGAAAGGTGATTTGTGTGATCATTTTTAATCAACCACAACCAATAAAAACCTCTGGAAAAATGAGATGCATAAAAATGGTTGATGGTTTCCATCTTTCTGCTCAGTTTTAGGATAATTGTGCAGTTCTGCACCACCACAGGGGCATGGAATATACTATGCATGAATGTAGTTCAGAATCCAGTATGTATGTGACCCTGCTTCTAACAAAATACAAGGGAGATGCTTTCCCTCTGCTTTACATGGGGATGTTTTCCTCCTCCTCATTCTCATTAGGCTAATGGAGCATACCCTAAAATTTTAGGGAGCCCCCCCCCGACATTTGCCTTTTTTTTCATGCTTAGTTATATTAGCAAATGTTCACTGGTCATTTAACTACTAACATGGAATGATGGTTCATTCACCAACAATGAAAGAATTCAGGCTATCACATTCCAGTTTAATTTAACTTCCTTTCCTTTACTACGTAGCCTTCACTGGACATAAAAGTCCATCTTCCATCTATAAACAACAAGAGTCAATGAATAATTTATCGTAACCATTCTAAACATTTTTCTTCTAAATCCCATGTGTTTAATAGGAGAGGAGAGATTACACTTCACAGATGCTTATCTTAAGTACTCAAAAGCTCAATAGTGTGCCACATATGAAGTTTTCTTGGCATTTGTATTGCCCAACTAAAAAAGCCTGTGTGAAATAATTTTCCAAACTACTTTCTGTTACTTTATAAACAACTAGTTTAGATGGTCAAGAATAGATGAAGGTATACAGTAAACAAGGAGACTTTGCCTACTTAGAATAATATATGTACAGCATTTTATTATATATATCAGCCATTAAAACAATCTACTCTGATCCAGGGTGCTCCCCTGGAATACAGTCCTAAATCCTTAAGTATTCCCATTGACCGTTACATATTTTGAACCTCAGCTTAGAATTATTTTACTTTTACATAAAATGAATGCACCACTAATCTTTTTTTAAAGCTATTATCGTTGATGTCACTTTGCAATATATCTAGTGAGCATACATTATATCCCACAAGAAAAATCAATACAGAAGCACTTACAGCCCTTTCTAAAATGGCCTAGTATAGATGAAGACATGCAATTTTAAAAGGAATTTGCCTGATTAAAATAATTACTTGAAAGTTATATTTGTGTTGCACCTTGTCTGTTCATTATACTGTAATGCAACAGTGCAACTAATGAAGATTCTTTTAGAATTATACTCCGCTAAAAATATTTTTAGGAGTAAATGTCACTGCTAAAGAAAGTGAGCACAGTGTTTTGAAAGATACCTTATTTTTAAATGTTTCTTAGGAACTTAGGAATTTTAGAGAGAAAATGTCTGCCACTAAATTTATTGTAGATGAATAGAATGTAAACATTTCTACTTGTATATTATAATCACATAATTGTAATAGTGACATTTTGCCTCTGTAAAACACCTTTCTCACAGTGGTGTCTAATTTGGAGAGACATTTTCCATGTTTTCAAGCTGGTCTGCCATTAATTGTCTCAAGATATTTTCAAAGCATCATCTACTCATATTTCCAATACATTTTAAATAAGGGCATTACATGTATGTTGGTGTCATTAGCTGTGCTAGATGTTTTGTTATAGTGGTCCAACTTCAAGTTGGTTTAGCCTGTTTCTGAGAATAGGTAAAATGGGTTAGTTATATTATTGACATAAGGTAGGGTTCCATCATCAAGAACAGGCAGGCATGCATTTCCTCCATAACTGCCAGAAAGCCAGAATATTCAACAATATATTTAGCCTTACTTGCTTCAGAACAAGTTTGCATAATTTTGCAATGCAATTGTGAAATGGTACTTCTTTTATATAGAAAGAATAGACTGTACCACTTTGCTCCTCATTCATAATTAGATACTATCACATTAATCTAGCTATAAACCAACATAGTTGGCAGCATACCAATCGTGGCTAGTTTTGAATTATACCTGGTTGCTATTATTACTAAAAACAACATGAAAACAGTCCTAGAATGCAAGCTGTGAGCATGACCCATCCCCCCATGAGCACAAGTACAGCACAAACAGATCGGCTTAGCTCTTCTCTCCACCTTTCACCTCCAGTGCCTGCACAGCCTCATTTCTGCTGATGGGGAAGTGCCACCAGGACTCTTTTGAGTCTCTGCTTCCATTCATAGGCTGCTGCGTTCTCAAGGGGACACATTTTGTTCCATGATACGGGGCTTTTCTGGAATGAAGAGAACATTGCTATGAATATCAAATATCAATTGGAGCGCTAGACATATTATTCTGGAGTTAGAATGAGTGATGCATGTTTGTCCTCTGCATGTTCTTTGTTAAGGGTTACCTGCCAGAATATTTTTTCTTTAAATACCAATTTTCCATTGAATTAATTCAAATAGAAGTTGTCTGAAATGAGTGACTTTCACTGGAATTAAATTCAATGTAGGCTGATTGCCTTACCTGCAAGCTAACAAAAATATAGTAGTATATATGCATGGGCATGCCACTAATTCTTTTGAAGATTTAACCAAGCTTTCTATGCAACTAATATATATTGTTAGTAGTGTTCATGTAGGCGGATAATACTGGCTCTTTTGGGGGGAAATCGCCATGAATTTGGATTTAACCCTTAAAATGTTACTGATAATGTTGGCCTTGTCCAAACATAGAGCTGCTGCTTTTGACAGTACAGCATATGGCCCGGCAATGAACATAGCAGTTACATTTTGATATGGGAAATAAGTGATAAAACATAAAGCTGTGAATAACTCCAGATATTAATGCAAACTGAACCATCTTATATAACATACAGTGTTGTGTGTATACACACCATCACACACTACAGTGGACTTTCCAATCCACATGAGCCTGGCCAAAGAGGATTGCAATGGAACTGGATAAACAACTGCAGCTGATTTTGTTCTTTTATTTATTAAACCATTTCTAACACACCATATATAAACAGACCTCAGTATTATTTTTATACTCATAAAAAAATCCACATAGCACTACAGTTCATTTTACCTGTAAACAGAAATAAAGTTAGCATTAAAACCTAAAGCAAATTCCTCAAAATAAATCTACTTACAATGGAGTAGACCCCAAAGCTTGGGTAGGTTTAAGTCTTAATGTGGCATCAAAATCTGGTTAGTGTCAGTGCCAGTGGGGTCTCCATTGGGAAGACATTTGTGCCATGGCCAAGAAGGTCCTCTCTCAGATTGCAATACATATAATTCCAAATGGTTGGCCATAGTCCCCTCAACAAAAATTAATACTCAGGTATTAATATTCATTTTCTGAGCTATTGCCACAAAAATTGCTTTATTATTTATCTTTACTGGCCAGAACATGGCAATCACCTCTGAAAGAGAGCTCAGATCTCCCGGTTGTGTCCTATGTGTGCCAAGCCAGCAGATAATTAGCTTCAGTGGAGATTCATTCCTTTCTATTTTTTAGTTGAATGTAGAAAGTTAAGGGAGGTAGGAAAATGAGTTGCATCCCTAATTAATTTAGTGAAGTTGAAATGTTATAAAACATGGTACTGCCATGTTTTGCAAAGAGTAGCAGTTTTAAAATTAGTTTTATTTATATCAGGCAGCATACTCTGTTCCTACATCCTGTCCTGAGGTTTCCATCACAGATAACAACCAACCGGTGCTTTCTGGATATGTGCCTTTAAATTACCTAAGAAATACTACCAGCTATTGGGCAAGGAAACCAAATGAGCTGCCCATCTAAAAAAGATTGGTTATGGAAGGGCTCAAGAGATGGCACTGTCACTGTAGACATATCCATTATGACATTTAGACTCAGTTCTGGCTTAGCTTTGAAGTTATACCAGATCTGTTCAGCTAAGATGCCTTACCATAATTTGTCTTTGCATGCAGTAGAGGGAAAACTGGTACTTACCCTAACCTAAGTGAGAAAATGTAAAAAGAAAAGTGTTGCCCTATTAATATTTTTGAGGCCTGCTATGGGTTATATGGAAAGAGATGAGCAAGTTGCCAGTACAGGTGATTTTGTATCCATATGTTGAGCAGGTGGAATAACAAGATTTTACAGTAAGCAGTCTATATTGATGTATCAGCAATATCTTTAAGGGTTAACAGACATTGGTGTATTCACCATGTTTTATAGATTTTATACAGATGCCAGTGTGGATTGGCTTTAAGCTATAATTCCTCAATAGATCCATGAGCCTGCCAAAGCTTACATGAGCCCTGCCTCATTAACCTCATGCCATTTGTTCTGTCTTAGTGTGCAGACACTGTATTGATATAATATCCTTGTGTAATTTTGGAGTTTTTGGGTGCAGTGTATTGCTCTTTTCTGAAACTATTTTCCCTTTTCTTTCTTTTTATGTCAACTTTCTGCATTGGCAGAGCATCTTGGGATTGAATTTATGGGTATGGAACAATCATTCCTTTTAGCTTGCAGATTTTAGACCCTGAAAGATTGAAAGCCTTTTTATTCTTCCCTCCTCTCCAATTCCTAACCAACTCCTTTATGCTTTAGAAGGGAACATACAGCTATAACAGCCTTTGTCAGCTCCCTATCTGCACTTAACTCCGCATTCAAAAACATATATTAACTGCTGTGGATCATGCTTGAGACAGTCATAAAGACTGAGCATTGACCTTTTTGTTAGATTGCTTGGCACTTCTTAATATATGCTTTTGCTACAATCTAGTGTTGTGCTGTGTCTTAGAAACACCTACCAATTTCCATCTATCACCAGAGGAAAAGAATGGCCTTTCAGGGAAGCGGTGGGTTTACAGAGCCCCTATTTAATACACAGGGAGCCTGTATTATTATGGGTGACTTCACATTTGGGACATTCTGCCATCATGAAACCTATTTGAATGAACACTTTATGGAGGATTTGAGGATTGAAAATTGAAGCAGCACATCCACCAAGTTCCTACAAGGCTGAGGAACAATGTCCTGGGCATGAGGCAAAGCAAAGTAGAGCAAGACTAAGTAAGGCAAGGCACAAGGAAAATGAGGGTGGCTTCAGCATCTCTGACTGTCTCTCAGACAACCTGTTCTGGCCTTTTGGTTTAGTGCCGTAAATAAACAGAATCCCGGTGATACTGCAAAAGTAGAATCCCCACCTGAGATTCCTCATATTACAGATTAGGACTTCTTGTGAGTTCAAACGCTAACCACACTAAAACTCTGTTTTCTATCATGATTAAGGATGATTCTAAAAGTGCATGTTGTTGCCTATTTCAGCACTTGCACTTCTGAGTCTCAGCTTATAATGCAGTATCTGAAAGATCATGAATGGAATTCCACTTCCATAATGGGGCTTTCCTTCCCTTTCTTTCCCACTGCAACTCCTTGAGCTTTCTTCCCTAGCTATTCTTGAAGATTCAGGGACTCTTGGGACACCATGGCCATTTGTTTGAGTAGAAGTGCCTAAAGGTCATGCATTGATGGCTCTGCATCCACACATCCTGAATATTCAGAAGTGATTCCTTGATCTGCAGTGGCCGGTCACATGTCACTCCAGAATCATCTCCTAAGATTCTCATTCCAAGATACAGGGATAGCTGAATGAGCTTAGGAATACTATGTTTGAGTGACATAAATAAAGAAGTACTGTAATTAGTTCCCAGAATAATTTCCCATCAAGGAATGAAAAGCAGGATTATAATTTCCTAGAGTAATGAATGTATTTGTTGTATCTGATGTGACAACTCTATAAAGCATTCTATCAAAGTCTTCTTTTGATCCCCAAGTTTCCATGGCATCCCTTTATTCAGACATATGTAATGCTACTGGTCTGCTCTAGGAATGCACCAGCGAAATGTCTTTGGTGCCCTGCTACAGATAAGAGGATATGATTTAGCACTGGTTATTCAAAGGCTCCAGGATCTCGATCCTATTCCCCAAAAGTGTTTTCCTCATTCAAAAGTCATTATGAAGCTATTCTGTTTGATACAGTCACCTCAAGCGCTTGGCTTTCTGGTTGCTAGCTACCAAGCACCTCTGTAATATGGGAACAGCCGAGTCAGCGGCAGTCAGGTAGGCTCAAAGTCTCCTGGACAGCACAGGCTCTGTGACAGAAACACATATCAGCCAAAGGTGACAAAAGAGGCAGTGCAGCTGAACGGGTGTAGAAAGAGGAATGGGATGCAAGGCCATCACAAAAAACCCTAAAAAGATCAGTGATACTTCCTCTTATACTTGGGGATCTTTCTTAGTCTCATACGTAGAAATAAGTGCTCATTCCTTGCTGTGGTTATAGGTAACACCCTGTACTCTGCAGTAATAATTTGTAGTATTGAGACATCCTTCCTTCAAAGCCCCACTTTGACAACTGGAGAGATGACCTAGTGGAAAGTGGCACACCAGATTTGCGGCCAAAGTGCAAAAAACCAGCGGGGAAAAGCCTATTTTAGTGGTGTTGCACTTTTTGTTCTACTACCCATTCACTGCCCCGATGTGCTTCAGTGCTAGTGCCATTTACGGCTTTTTTCTTCTTCGTTGTGTTATCCCGCCCAATCAGAGATCCTATAGTCAATGTAATGATAACATGATGCCATGTAGTCAAGCGTGGTATTGGACATTGTAGCTGAGAGCAATTGAATCCCCTTATTCACAAAGTACGGTAGAGGAAACGGGTGACTGGGCTGACACTTGGTGTGTTGCTGAGCCCTATTAGAAATCCTATTGTCCCACAGTGTGGCAAGTCTTTCTTCTGATCGTGCAGCCTCGCTAAAGTCCCAGGTTACTCTAGTCGTTCATAATTACACCTGACTAGATGCAACAAAATGTAGACGAGGTGTGTGCTTTTTCATATATACTTGATTCTTTCCACTTGGAAGTAATCAGACATCCATTCCCCTGCACCAGCTGCTACATTTAGTCTGCAGTAAGTACAACTGGATTGTGGCAAAAGAGCCTTGCCAGTGAGAACAGGTTCCTTTTTCCTTGTGGCATCTGCCCCCTAGTGAGCATGTCTGCACCCTTTGGGGAGGGGCATAATAATTATTAAAGGGTAAGAAACTTTCATGCAGGAGAAATGTTTTCAGAGAGGAACCCCCGTTTTCCTTCTGACAATGGCACCAGGAGAGCTTGGTAGGCGAGTGTATGAGCCCTACACTTAGAAACTCGGAGACTGAAAAGGAGCCTGCAAGCATGACGTAGTGAAAGGGTGGGGAGGAAAGGTGTATAGATTCATTATGATGGAGGTTCAACAACATACACTTGGCTGATTGGTGATCACAAGCATTTCTGGAAGATGCCCCTGTGAAACACGCAGCCCATCATGCACAGCATTTATATGTCTGGAAACACGAGTGAGAGACTTTTTCTTAATAAGGAGAGGCTGCCTGAAACAGCAGTAGAAAGTTGTAATGGCCAAATCCCCCCCCCACCTGCTTCCCCGCCTGCAATCATATACATTAAATGGCCACTGGGTATGACAAAAGAATGACAATCCCATGTCATGTGGTATTTCTGTCGTTTTCAGCAATAAATTCTTTAATGCAATAATGCAGCACTGAGTTTCTTGGAAACAGGAGGGAAACAAGAGCGCTATTTTCACAAGTTAACAAGCAATAGTCCAAACGTTAACCCTTTCTGAACTGCACTATTAACTCTTCCTGGCCTGCATTTAGCATGATTTTTCTGTCCCTCATTTTGTAACATCCTAAGATTCCAGTTGCTTGGTTCCTCATTCAGTGCTTTCAGGAGAGCATAGGTTAGGAGTTATGCTGTATGTGAAATCCCTTCAAACTCTGCTTCAGTCTTATTTTCAAGCATTTTCTTTACTCTTTTTTCCAGTTATCAAGCATGCTGTGCCAGACTTAATAGTTGACTTCACAACTTTAAATGTCATTGTTTCCTTCAGCTTCTGCTCCTTTTTCTCTCTCTCCCATATATTTGTGTTTGTTTCCCTACTTTGTCTTCCTACTCTTGAAATTTATTTGTATAATCAATACAGCATTCTACTTTTTATTTTCTCACAAAACTGGCTCCCTCCTTCCCTCTCCTAATAATCAGTACTATTAATTTTTTCCCTGAATATGTTTACAAGTCTGTTAATTGATGTTTATGTTGGGATTGGCTTGTAGGAAACACATTTTCCAGCAATAAAGTGCACTGTATCATAGATATGAACCATGTTAAAATTTCAGTCGGTGTTCATTTTGAAGTTCAGGCTTCCTTGTTACACTGAAGTACTTTTCAGACAAGGCTGAGCACCAAACTAGACAATACACAAAAGCACATGTAACTTTACTTGGCTTACCCCTTTTTAAACCTCAAAAAGCTACTTTTAAGAGGTGGTAGGCAAGTTGTAGGAGAAGATGTTTGCCCTTTTCCTCCCTTGGAAAGGAAACTATTTGGAGGAAGACCTTTCTTATGATCCTATATGCTATTTTCTATGAATACTTCTCACTGAATTATATTCATTTTAAGGTATTGAAAGGTTTGCTGCTGATGTTTCTTAACTAGACCCTTTAAAAATCGCTAAGTATTTCTTTCACTGTTCTGCAGCAATCTAGATTTTGGTTGTCCTGTTCTGTATATATTATAAACAGGGAAAACCAAATTTAAGAATTAAAAAGTTGTTATGCTAGAAAGTCTGGAAATTCAGTTTTCCAGTAAACATTTTGTATCTGTTGCTTAATTTGTGATACAAAGTCCTCACAGAGAAGGCCTGAGGCTATAAATAACTAGAAGAGAAATCCCTGAATTAATAACGCAATTCTATACACGTCTACATGTCACAATAAGAAAGCCTTATTGTGTTAAATGGGACTTATTCCCTGGTAAGTGTGTGCAGAATTGCAGCCTCAATCTCTTTTAGCCCTTTCCTAACTTAGAAATGGACAGAAAGTTTCACTGGGGCAGATGTGCAATAAATGTATAAGCTGAAAAACAAAATCTGGATTAAAACACCAGTCATTGCTGGACATGTGAAAGCCAAAACCTCTGTTCCTGCAAAATCCTTTGAAAGAAAAGCATTATTTCTTCCAGACACAGTCAGCATTTCATGGATGGTCCTTCCTCCCAAACAGTCGTGTATCAATAACATGCCACAGTATATCAGCAAACACTGCTCATTGTTGGTCATTGCCCAGTATGATGTAATCAAACTATACACTGGGTCAATGTCTAAACAAATATTTTCACTCTTAGGAGCAACAGTGACAGCAGAGGTGAGGAATTTGGGACCTTACACAAACTAGTGCCAGAAATCAGTCTAAGAGCAGGCCAAGCCAAAGCTATTTCTACCAGATGTCTTATCAGCAAATAGACAAAATCAGCAGACCAGGAAATCCCCCCCCCCGCCCCCAGAAGCCATTCTCCAAATACAATACTAACATGTTGGTTTTCATATCGTATTCCACGAATGGCAACCTCATTGTCAAGACAAGTAGAGCAGTGGGGCAGGGGGGTCCATTCCCCTTTTCTTCTATTTAAACTTGTGTGGTCTTCTATAAAGCATTCCCATTAGTTAATCTAATGGCTTCTAGACTCCTCACACCATTGCCACTCCGCATTTTCCATATTGTTGGTTTATATTTTACTGTAAGCCATTCTGAGACAATTGGTTGTATAGGATGGGATAAAAATGTTCTAAATAAAATAAAATTAAAAAGCTGGATGATGTTGCAATCACACAGTTTTAGAGCAAATATATAAATGCCTTTTTGAACAACAGACGAGGGAAAGGGAACAGAAGACGCTGGCTCATTCTAGCTACTTGGGCCAGTGCAGAGTTAGTATCAATGCTCTAAATGTTACATTTCCTTTGTTCAACATACAAATTATGTTTTGCCAAGTGTGACAGACAAAGGAATGTAATGTCTTTTCCAACCCAAACATTACTTGCCCTAAGAATTACTTAATGATAAAATATCTTTGAATGAGGTCACTGCAATGGAACAGATTTTCTTCATGCAAATATCCTTTTTCCTACAATTATGACATATCAATAATGTTGTAATGCAGCTTTCGCCAACCTGATACCTTCCAGATGTTTTGGACTACAGCACCCAGCATTCTTTACCATTGGCCAAGCGGCTGGGGCTGATGGGTATCAAAGTCCAAAACATTTCAGGAACACCAAGTTGGGGAAAATTGGTGCAATGTCTGTGATACAATGCATTGTTGCCTATTGTAGTTGCAGATGTGGAGTGCTGGACAGAAGTACCATTAACTGAAAAACTGCATCAGTCCCTGATCAGTTGTGATCAGGAACATTCCTCACAGGCATAATTACAAGCCAAACTCAAACCTTAACTGTAGTATTTCTCATGTAAAAAATGCTGTGAGTCTTGGTAATAGTGCAAAAATGTGGGTATTTAAAAATACCAAGAAAGAACTGGGACAGGATTTGGGTGGTGGTGGGGTCTATATAGCTTGCTTTTGTCCCAGCTTTCTTTCTGAGCAAGGAAATTTTGTTTATATACTATGTGCATTGTTATAACAGTGCATTGTATTTTTATTTTTATTAAATGTTTTTGTAAATTTAGAATTATGTTAAGCATTCTAAACTACCAGTTAATTTGAATTGCACTTGTTTTAAACGTTGCATATATCAGTGCTGTCATTGCGTTTAGATTTGAATTTCTGAATATAAAATTCGTATGGTAATAGAGCCATTGATTTCACCTGCAAACCTGTGGGATAATACTCTGTACATTGCACTTTGTTCTTTTCTTTCAATATTTTTGTTCCTTTTGTGACCTTCTACGTTTTGTCCCTTTCTAGAAACGGAGGAACTCTACCAGAAAAGAGTGCTGACCATAACCGGCATCTGCATTGCTCTCCTTGTAGTTGGCATCATGTGTGTTGTGGCCTACTGCAAAACCAAGTAAAATTTCCTCTTCCTTTCCGTATGTGTTTATCACTGAGGGAGGAAGCTCCTGAAACAAAAAGTTAAGGGTGCCTCCCAAACTTGTGGCTTCCCAACTTCATCTTTGCAGTCCCAGTTCTGGGGTCCTACCCAGCCCCCACTCTGTCCCCTCACAGCCAGTTCAGAAAGAACTGCACCGGTTCCCCCCACCGTATGTCACAAGTGGGCCTCAGAGGGAATAAAGGGGGCGTGCGAAGGAGGGGAGGGGTAAGGGAATGCAGACTGATGCAGATCCCAGTCAGGGTCCCAGTCTCCCTCCCTTCCCTACTTAAACCATCTAAGGAAAATACCTAGATGAGGTGAGGTGACGATGGCATAAGATGATGTGAGACCCCAGGTTTGGGGGCTTACATGCCTCTGCTGTTGGAGAGATAGGAATGCACCCTAAATGTGTTTCCAGTTGTTGATACAAAATTAAGCTGCTAAGAACACAATTTTTTGGCCATTGGATGCTGTCTAAAACAGCCATAAAAGGCTTCAGAGTTCCAGCACCAACCTCAGAATTGAATCTCAGAAGTTGGAGGTTCTTTCTTTCTACTTCTGGTTCTTTCTACTCTGACTGCAAAAGCAACAGAGGAGATGATGTTTTATGCAGTGTAGAGAGATGGGCTTCTGCCAGCATATGTAATATCCTGGCTGCACCTCAACCCCATCTCCTCATGCTCCAGGGCAAAACACTTAAACAGCTGAAATTGCCTCAGTGTTTTGCAGGTAGGAAAAGTACACTGGCCATCTTCACCTCTGTGCTTCTTCTGCCCTCCACTGGATGCCCATAATCCTCCAGGTTCAGAGATTTACAGGCAGCTACATTGGATTTCACTGTAATTAAACTTAAGGGCTCATCTGTAGCATTGTAGGAGAACTAGAGTGTGCAGTATAATTAAACAGTATTGCTTATTGGAGATGATCCCTTAGAAGTTAATCTAATTCTTGATCCAGGAGATATAGGTTTGTGACAGTGACTATTATACTATACCAGAGTTCTCAAAAACTTTGGTACTCTTTTGAATTGACAACCTTAAATATAATGGATTTACAATTTTAATTATAAAATAACCCATGCTTTTTCATCATCTTGTTTGTAACTCTTTCAATAAATGTTTGAGCTTGTTCTCACAGCTATGATGGTTAAATGTTTACCTTAACAAATTCAAGGATGTAGCAAGAGTACTTCAGACAAAAATTGCTTTAGAGCTATGTATTCTATTGCATCCCTGTGGGATCATTACGTTTTGGCATCTTTTTCTTCTGCCTCTTGACACTGTGGTTCATGCAGTCTCATGGCATCCCAGTTTTTCCTAATCTGCTGATAGCTGACCCTTGTTCGCCTTAATCTAAAACAAGAAGTGTTCTTCATTCCTACAGCCAAATACATTAAAATCACCTACCATCGGAGTAGCAGAACCCCTGCATTTCCACATTTCTCACACTATCAATGCATCAAAAGTGATCGAATGATATTTTATTGAATGTTGGTAAAGGAGTCTCTATCTGCCAATCCCCTATATACATTCCTACCTTTCTGATATGCATTTATTGACTAAGAAAAGGTTTAGGTGACTTTGGGTGCCATTTCTAGTGACAATGTTAATCAAGTGATAAAATGATATTGCATAACACCATGTCTTCTAAAACATTCTATTTACGTAGCAGTTCATTTAATGATGAGACACAGCTAAGAGAAATCATGCGCACATTTAGCTGTTGCATTACTTTTTCCTCTCTACTTCCCTTTAGTGATTTTTTTTTAATTTAGTGAGTGCGTGACCTTCACATGCAAAAATAATGACACATTTTAAGCTATAGAAAGAGCACAAGCTTGGTTTAGGCATAATAGGAAACCATAACAATGAGTTGTGATGAGCTTCAGGCTTATGCACACCACTGTCCTCTCTGTCCTTTTTTACTGGAGGTGAGGAGCCACTTCGAGTGTTACACTAACCATATAGCCCCATGATGTCCAAACAAAAGGAAACGTTATTTCTTTACACTGTAGTTACTGAGAACAAATGAGGATCAAACTTTTACATCTTGGTTAATTATCAATAACAATAGTTTAAAGAAGCCATAGTCTCCCAAGTTCAGGCATTATAAAGAATGTTTAAAATGACAATCTGTCATTAACGTCCCATAAAAACAGAAATGCACTAATGAGCAATGTTTATAGTGCAAAAGTAACAACATTTTTGGCTTTTGTTTTTCCTTTGGCATGATTAAAATTGTTCCTTATTCCAAATGCAGGAAGCAACGGAAAAAGTTGCACGACCGCCTTCGGCAAGGCCTTCGGTCTGAACGCAACCATAGAGTCAACATGGCAAATGGACCTCACCATTCTCACCCACCACCAGAAAATGTCCAGTTGGTGAATGTAAGTTTTACAGGAGCAGCAAAGCTTATTATAGTTCACAGTGTCTCACAAGTTTCTATTCGACAGCCTTTTATTTATTTTATTATTGTTTACTTATCACATTTCTCTACTGGCCAATAGCAGAGGTTCACTAGGTCATTCACAACAGTTAAAGGCTAATGCATTAACAGGTTTAGAACTGTTGAAAGTAAAGAATATAAAATGTGTGTTCAGGGTCCAAACGTACTTCATGATAATGAGAGTTCCATGTATATAAAGAAGCCACTGGGCATGACTCACAACAGGCCCTTGAGGCTTACATTGAGTGCTCAAGGTCCTACGAACAAGTTTACTGATCTGCACCTGCCAGCAAATTGAAAAGCCATTTCCCATCTGCAGTTTTTGAATCAGTTCCACTCTCCATGGTTAAATATGAGGGAGAATGATAACTGTGTTGGCTCCATGGCTGAATGAGAACTAGAACTCAGATCTCCTAAATCCCACTCTGGTATTTGAACCGCTACGGCACACTGCCTCCCCATCTTGGGCATGCCTGCTGGCCAGAACCAAACCAAACCAAACAGGTGCTTGTCAGGCATTTTCTCTCCAGCATTCTGCCTCCCCCCTGTTCCTAATCAGAGATGCACAGGAGCATCTCACTTGACAGATGAGAGTGAGAGCTGGATGTATAACCCCTGGGCAAGCCACCTGTAATCTATGGGGTAAAAGTAAAAGAAGGGGTTAACTTTTAAAGGAATAAAGTACAGCTAGCATACAGCTAGGCAGCCATACAATTTATTGCTGAATCAAAGTTAACTTTATTGCATGCAGAAAATAGTCAGAATCCTTGCAGTCAGTAACTCTTCCCATCCATTTCAACAGAGGCAAGATTTCACCTGTTCCAAGAGACTGTTCTCTGTGTTTAAATAATGCAGACATTTCCCATATTACATCATTCCCTGCAAGAGCCAATTTGTAGACAAGCTATGCCTGTTATTTAACTACCAAATAGTCAAACCTTTTCTTCTGCCAATTACTTTTTTCTAGTAGTAGGAAAGAATAGACCAGAATTCCAACTTCATTACTTCGTTTAATCACTATAGAGTCCTCAAATGACAGCCAAACTAAACATTTTGAAAGACTAGCTCATAAAAATACAGGGAAATTATGCTATTGCTAACATACTTCACAAAGAACTAGAGGAGGGACAGACAGACAGACAGACTCCCTGCTTTTAAAATTCGGGAAACCAGGGTTTTTTGAGCAGAGAGAGAACATTTGAATATTGAATAGCCATATATTCATAGGTCCTACTTTGAAGCCTGAAGAGAATAGTTAATGGTCAGTCGATCCAGGAAGCACCACGGCTTCAGTATATGAAATTGCCTACTATGCCTTTTTATATAAATAAACGAGAATAGTAAGCCTTTGGTTATAGGGGCTGCTATTATTATTACTATTATTATTATTATTTCTGTACCACCCCACAGCCAATGTTCTCTGCACAGTTTTCAACAGTTCATAAAACAGATATAAAATGCAAATATTTTTGCAATACAAATGCTAAAATTCAATAAAATATATACAATCAAAAATATATTAGAAGTTTTAAAATTTAAAACCAAACTGAGTTCTGTCTCTCTCTTGTTTAGCAATATGTTTCTAAAAATGTAATATCCAGTGAGCATGCTGTTGAAAGAGAAACGGAGACTTCGTTCTCTACAAGCCACTACACCTCAACGACCCACCACTCCACCACGGTCACCCAGACACCTAGCCACAGGTAGGAGGCCAAAAGAGAACCTGCGTTTTGCTGTCCCACGAAAACGAGAGCGTGCTTTTTCATTTATGTTGCAGAAGGGTTTTACTTCAGCAATGATGGATGTGCCTGTGATTAAAGCAAACCTTTTGTGGCAAAGACTGGCTGCCCCAGACTGCACTTAATACCTCTTGACTATATTACCAAGAAACTTTTTTAACAGAAGGACAAGACTATTAGGACTAGTAATTTTCTAGAATTCAGTGTGCACAGGATATCATACTAGACACAGATTTTAGCACTAGAGGCCTGTCCTAAGATCCTCTGATTTAAATTTAATTTTTAAAACAAGCATCTATCTTTTACAGTTACAGCATAAGTGTCTGTGTTGTTTGGAAAATGCACGCATTTAATTAAAATATTTATACAAAATAAGAATCTTCCAGATTATCATTTAGTCTCATAAATATTCAGTTGCTGTGCCTAGACCAGATATCATCCATGAAGTTACACTCCTGTGCAGCATTATCGTGCCTTAATAGGACACCCTGTATTTTCTGCTAGAAATTTTGCTTTTTCCACCATATAATGCAGCCATTACTGTTGCAGTTATTGTGGTAAATTAGGATGTGCAACTAACACAGGCACCTTCTGAGTATCACCTGTGATATGAACACTGATAAGCCATAAAATTCCTGCATGAGTTGTGGCCTTTTTATTTTTATTAACAAACCATAACAAAGAAAAGGAAAAAGAAACAAATATAATAACATAAATTTAAATCAATCTGTTTTAATTGGTATTTAACTTGTGCCCTGCTAAACTGAACCCAGTCCATTGGCTTTATGTAATTCCTTGCCAGGTGCTTGATAACTTCATCCTTGTAGGACCAGACATATAGAAAAAGGCTGATGCCCTTGCTGGGCCTGTGGTAGCCACTGATGGCTGGCATGCTGCCCTCAGGTTTTGGGGGGGCGGGTTGCCCCTATCTTTTTGATAGTTGACTCCGTGGGCCATACCTCTGACTCGGCACGACATGGCTGCAGTGGAAATGTTCCCCCAGCCCATTTTTAAACCACTGGATTTTGTTTGTTTTGCTTGCTTCCTTGAAATCTGTTTATTCCTTCCATCCCAGAGGTAATCTGGAGTTTAAATGACATTCACCTCTCGCCCTCAACCACCTTGCTTTCTCTTCCCTGTTATCTGTCAATTGCATATCACACAATTTGATTTGAATGGGGACTTTCAGAAGCAAATCAGGACATGTGCACCCTGATAATCTGAGTAACAGCTAGGTAAATACGATGGGTTTTGAATTGCATAATTTATGTAGAAAACAGGCTTTCTTATTTGTGTAAATACTTTGGCTTTTCTTGTCATCATTTCTATAATGGCAAAATCCTGAAAGGGATGACTTTTAAGGGTTGAATGTTTCTGGGCACACCCACTTTGTGCATATAATGAATCTCAACTATTCGGCATCACTGTATATGAATACAAAAACTTTTTGCTGCACAAATCCAGTGACCAGACTACCTAGAAACAGGTTGTCACATTCCAGGTATTTTGGCCTACAACTCCCATCAGTGCTAGCCAGTATTTTTGGAGAAGAATCATGGGAGTTTTAGGCCCAAGCATGTGGAGGGCCTCAGGTGACCCACCAGAGCTAGATTACCAGAAACATCCCTTGGCTTTCTCCTTCCTGTCTTCACACTTTAAAATGTTCCCTCTCTCCTGCTCTTCCTAACGGCTCTATATCAGTTGGAGTAATGGTCGGACTGAAAGTATCATCTCTGAAAGCCATTCGGCAATTGTGAGCTCCTCAGTGGAGAACAGCCGGCATGCGAGCCCATCAGGCCCCCGAGGGCGCCTAAACGGCATTGGAGGGCCACGAGAATACAGCAGCTTCCTCAGGCATGCACGAGAGACACCTGACTCCTATCGTGATTCGCCACACAGTGAAAGGTATCCACAAGACTGGAAATGTGTCATTATCTGAAGTATTATAGGGCAGTCACTTTGAAGCAGAGAGGGAGAACAGAAAGAATGAGCTTTACAGGAAATGGTGTTTTTTTTAATGTATCAAGAAACTCAGAGTTGAGAGCAGTCTTCTTAATGGGATTTTTTATGGCCTCCTGATGAATTATCCAAAGGCTTTGCTCCATCTCGTTGTGTGATATATCTTTTGAAGTTGATCTTTTTGACTGTTAAGTCATTTTTAGCATGCAATGGCAGATCCTACTGATTAGTGGGTGGCATTTATGTAGAGGCATGTGAGAATAAGTTGCAGTCAAAATGCAAATGCAGATGTAGACCATGAATAAAGCACATTCCTAATAAAACCAGGAAAAGTTTGCTACTAGAAATTTCAACATTACTGGCCTTCTTTCTCCAACCACCATTACTGTGCCATAAAGATGATAAGAGGAAGGTGCACAAAGCCACAGCAGAGAGAAATTCCCACTTCTCATTTAATTTTCAGTCTCTTCCAAAGAAAGAGAGAGAGAGAGATGGAGGGCACAATCCATTGTCCCTGCACCAGATACTTGAACTCAGAGGCTTGAAAGAAGATACAGCAGCTACAATCCGTACATCCATGACCCACTTCATGTATCGTAGAAACATAGAAACAGAGCGAGTCAGAAGGGGTCTCCAGGGCCATCTAGTCTGACCCCCGGCTCCAGTCGGCTCTGCTCACGACATGCCCACCATGTGCATGTCTAGCCTATCCTTGAACACCCTCACCAATGGGGCCTCAACCACCTCCCGCGGAAGCCCATTCCACACCCTTGGGGTCCTAACTCTCAGGAAGTGCTTCCTGGCATCTACATGGAACCTTGGTTCCCTGAGCTTTGCTCCGTTGGAGCGCATCCTGCCTTCCTCTGCAGGGGAGAACAGGTCTTATCAAGACATCCATTCTGGGCCACGGAGCAGGAGGGAAGCTGGGGTGCAGACAGGAATCAGTACAAAGTATCAGTTTCCTCCTCTCCCACTCCTCCTGGCACCACCTTGGAGAGGTATCTGAAGCTGTTCTTTCTGCACAGGCTGGAAGGGTAACAGGGCAAGGTTTCAGCTTTCGGAGTCCCAACTCTGAGGTCACAGGACCCCAAAACTGGGGCTTTGAATAATCTGATGTGCTTCACCCCAGGTAGTGTTGGGAGGCCATAGAATCGTGTCCTAAATGCATCTTTTTCTTCCCCCAGTGAGGTTTAAGAAGGAAACACACTCCTTCAGATGACCCTACATCCATTAATTGGTATTATATTTACACAGTTCTTCAGCTTCACAAATGTCTAATATAGTTTAATTCCAGATAAAGTTAGGAGAACTATGGAATGCAATATATGTATCACTGATTTTTTTTAATTCAACTGTTAGCATGTTAGGAGTCTCTTATTCCCTCTTTTGGAGGCCTACATTTCTGGAAAACAGAGCAAAGAAGAAATCTGCAATGTAGTCCCATGACTTCATAGATCTCTAGCTAATATGGCACAGTGACACAAAAAATCAGCCTCAAAAACAAAACACAAATAGAAAATAAGGGTAGGGCATGCATGCCTAATAGCCCTCAACTATTTGTACATGTTTATGTAAAAGCAACCAGAAATGCAGGACCTTGGACAGTAAATTAATTAATCAGGAAATGTACTCTTTTTGTGTTATAATACAACACATAAATTTTAATTTCTCCAAGGAATCTGATATTAATATCTATATTCTTTCATGGGTTGTTAGCATTTTATGAAAAATAGAAAAATATACTTATATTTATGAAAAATAGAATATTTATGAAAAAGGGAATTAAGCTATTTCCATTTTATTTCACATATTGCTCAATTAAGGATGTAATGCTATGGCTTTCTGGCCTCATATGGGGGGCACGGGATTCTTCAGAGGATTCCTGGGACCTCAGTGCTGGGCATGGCATGAACTGTCCTGCCTGGTATGGGTTAGGGTCTGGGTGAGGGAACAGCAGGAGGAGGCTGGGGCCATCACAGTACACAGAATCCCACTGGTGCTCCAACTTCCCCCCCCCCCCCCCACCTCCATGCTTTATCTAGATGGCCTAAAATAGCTATCCAGATAAAATTCACAGGCAAAGCACAGCAATAGCAGACAGCACAACCACTGCACTTGCTTCAGCTACTGGAGGCACATAAGCCCCTGAGTTTGGAAGTTTGCATGCATGGTGTGGGGTTGGGGGTTGCACCCTAAATCTTCTATTGCGTCAAATCGGTCCCTCAGATTTGGAATTCAGGAGTGCGATTTTGTTTCTTAGAACACATACACCAGATACATGGATGCGTGTTCATTTAAAATCACCGCAGCCTCATAAATTTGATTTCAGCATTGCTAGTTCCAGAATGGCAATTTAGTAAGCACGCCATCAGAATACAAATGGCTTGAGAACACCAAGGAAAGAAATGTCCCCTCCTCGCTTAACACTGTCAACTGTGAAGCCTTTTGTTTAATTCTTCTCCTACTTAATTTTTATCTGTACTTCTTTAGGTACGTATCTGCTATGACCACACCAGCTCGCATGTCACCCGTAGATTTCCACACTCCGAGTTCTCCAAAGTCACCTGCTTCAGAAATGTCTCCACAAGTCTCCAGCTTAACCATGTCTGTCCCTTCTGTGGCAGTCAGTCCATTTATAGAAGAGGAGAGGCCTCTCCTTCTGGTGACACCACCCCGGTTACGGGAAAAATACGAGCATCACATGCAGCAGTTCAACTCCTCTTACCATCACAATCCCACCCATGAAAGCAACAGTCTACCACCAAGTCCCCTGAGGATAGTAGAGGATGAGGAATATGAAACCACACAAGAATACGAACCAACACAGGAGCCCCCAAAGAAACTAGTCAACAGTCGGAGGGCAAAAAGAACAAAGCCCAATGGCCACATTTCCAATAGATTGGAAATGGACACTGACACAAGCTGTGAGAACAGTAGCTCAGAGAGTGAAACAGAAGATGAAAGGATAGGTGAAGATACACCTTTTCTGAGCATACAAAATCCCATGGCAGCCGACCTAGAATCAGCTACTGCATATCGGCTGGCTGACACCAGGACTAACCAAACCAGCCGGTTCTCAACACAGGAAGAATTGCAAGCAAGATTGTCCAGTGTCATAGCTAATCAAGATCCCATCGCTGTATAAAAAACACTTTAAAAACACACATAGATTCACATGTAAAACTTTATTTTATATAATGAAGTACTCCACCTTTAAATTAAAACTATTTTATTTTAGCAGTTCTGCTATTAGGATTTAAAAATACACAGGAAAAAACTTTTATAAATTAAATATATAATGTATATACAAAAGTGTTATGTGCCATATGTAGCAATTTTTTTACAGTATTTCAAAAATGAGAACGATATCAATGGTGCCTTTATGTTATCTTATGTTGAGAGCAAGTTTTGTAAAAGTTACAAGTGATTACTGTTCCACAGTATTTTGCAGAAGTCTCTAACATTCTGGTTTATTTCCCCTTAACCTCCCCGGCCACCTTCCATTCCTGCCTCTTTTTCTTTTTGTGTACTGCATTAATGGTGACTGACTGTACAGTTTGCAAAAATTGCAACAGTCCCTGTGTTTGCTTGCTGTAGCCCCTGATCAGAAGAGCCCTGTATTGGCACATCTACCTAAAGAATCATAATCATTTCTTCTAGAAGAGGTTTTTAATCTGCTTAACCCTATATGTGTTGCTCTCTGTCAGAATTAAGGTTTGATTTAAGAGCCTTGAGGAGATGGCAGCTCCAACAGCATGCCGTTATTTACAACAGGACAATACATACATAAAATGTAAACCTATATTAAATATTTGACAGAAATACTGTGATTTTAAGTTTAATATAATCAGTCGAGCATCTGCTTGAACCTAAATAGGAACAATCTCTCACACACAGACACGTTCTTAGTTTTTGTGATGGTGTTTCTTAGAAGTATAGGAGTGCTTGCAGTAGGACACAATCCTAACGCAACTTCTTCCGTGCAAGCACCTTTGCAATGAATGGGATCTAAACAAGAGCATCACAATCCTTTGTCCAGCTTCCAATCATTTTAGTGTGGCTTGTGCAAAATTATTTCCTACGGGACTGCATCCAGGCTAAGTTAGCTGCAGTTCCTGAATAAACTATTAGAGCAAGTATTTGTAACCACACAAGAAAATGATAATGGTGGGAAAAATTAACATGTCTCAGATAAAATCACAGTCAGTTTTGAACCTACATTTCTTTTTTCTTTTTTTTTCAATTCTGGAAAGCA